TGCATAATGAACCTTTTAATTACTGCCTTTAAAAAATTCAATGGTGAAACAATATATTTTACAAACAGAAATAATGTCACCTATGTCACAGAGTTGTAAAATTTAAGGGACAAATTGTGTAAATATGCTCCAGAAACATTACCACACGGTATGAGTATAAGAAATTAATTATTTGTTAAGATCACACACTCCCAAGTCAAGCCAGCATCACATGTGCTTTGTCAGGCAGTCTTCCTCCCAGCCATTTCCTTCCTGGTATTTGTCTTTAAAACGCCAATTAGAAATCCATGCAGTTACAGAAGCCCAAAGTTAAAACAACAGAAAATTTTGGAGAAAATTGAGGCAGGACCACAAAGTGAAATGGCACATTATCACTGAAATTTATCCCACAGAAATGTACTTAACGACAAATGAATGCATCAATTACTTTAGTTCACTGAACAGAAAGATCTGCGTTACTGTTTCTTTCTTGTAAGAATTTGTTTTATGTCTTGCACTCTGAATAACTACTTTGACAATAATGATGCACAGTGTATTAACTACTATTATTTGACTATAAAATTTTGTTTTATTGTTTCATAATATTTAAAACTATCTTTATCCACCGGGGGTATGTTCCAAGACCTCCAGTAGACACCTGAAAACTAGTATACATAGAATGTATAATGTATAAACCCCATGCATATATACTTTTCCTATAAATACATATGATTAATAGCAATAATAATTATTATTGGTAATGAGAGTATACTATAACAAATACAATGATCCTGAGCTGGGCGTGGTGGTGCACACTTGTAATCCCAGCACTTGGGAGGCTCAGGCAGGAGGATCATTGTGAGTTTGAGGAATTCAAAGTGAGCTCAAGGCCAGCTTGAACTGCACAGTGAGACCCTGTCTCAAAAAGAAAAAAAAAAAAAGGAAAAGAAAAAAGAAAAATACAATGACCCTGACATTATACTATAATAAAAATTACTTAAAACCTATGAAATGCTTATTTCCAGAATTTTCCATTTAGTATTTCTGAATTGTAGCTGATCATGGGTAACAGAAACATGGAATGTGAAACTTGGATGGTGGTGCGCAGACTACTACACAACTGACCTAACTAAAATGATCCTTGTCCTAGCTAAGGATTACATGGTCTGCTACGTCACATACTCAAATAATTTTTATAATAATCTGATAATTTTTATCTTTTTAAAATTCTTAATTCATTCCACTTGAATCTATTCTGGCATTCAGTTTGTCACTTTTGCTAAGGAACGGAGCAGTCAAAGCCATCCATAACATTTTATCTTTCAGTTGCTAAATTAAAAACATTTTATGGATTGCTTTCATCCTTGAAGCCATACTTGTCTTTAAACTACACTATGGTTTTGAATAAAACATGTATATACATTATAAAACATGCATGTAATTTACTTTTACATTTCAATGCTAGTGGTTCCTTATATGTATCTCTTTATGAACAAGTCACTACTTCATAAATCAGAAGCTGAATCTCATTTTCTCTGCTTAAAACAAAAGTAAGAATTGCTTTTCAAGCCTTTATTTTTTCTGCTTTCACAAGAGAGATCACAGAACTTGGATACAAAGAAGAAAGGCTCAGTAAATTAGTAACAGCTCAAATAAAGTACATAAAAATACATATAATGCCACTGAATCTTTTTATAAACATGAATAGAAGGAAACGTCACTCACAGAACCCTACTAGAAAGAAGCTGAAGGACTTCTACACAGACCAACCACATATATCCAACCACACATGCACTCTTTCATACGAGCAAGAGCATTCTACAAAAAAGCAAAGAATCTTTCTTTTTCACAAAAACTATTTATCTGATATTCAAAAATTTAGTTAATGTCTTATACTCTGAGTAACTACTCTGAAGATGACACAGTGTATTCACCTGTTGTTATTCTCTCATATTTTCATTAAATAAAAAGATAATAAAAATTTATGTAAATCACTATTGCCTGGTGTTCTCTACACTGCTTACTAATTTAAATGGTCATACATTATTATGAGTTTATGAGACTGCCCATCAATACTAGAATTAAATTATTTTCAATATACTATTGAAAAAATGTCACATGGGAAGCTAATAGTCCCTGTCATAGCTTAGTTATAGCATGTCCTCACTGGCCTCACATTCAGGGTAGGGTTTTGGAAGAAGACTGGATGACGGGGCTACGCCTGACTTCTTGTTAGGAAGCTGGGCCCGATGAAAGGTGGGTCCCTGGGGCTGTGACCCAGAAGAGAGAACGTCCCTTCCCAGCTCCTCTCTTCACTTCTGCCTTCTGGCCACTGTGAAGTGAGTAGTTTTGTCTGCCATGGCCCTCTGCTGTGACATTTCTACCTTGAAGCTGCTTTAGCATGGATACAATCTACTGATTACTTAAATTCTGAGCCAGAATAAACCTTGCTTTCAGTTATGGGAGTCAGGTATTTTGTTGTAGCAACAAGAAAATGACTAAGACAGCACCCAGCAATGGAACTGGAATTCTACTACACAAGGACCTTTCTCTAAGTACCGTGATGCTTCCAAATGAAATGAGAATCCAAGACAAGGGGCGGAAACAATATGATGGATGCAAGATGATGATGGGATTCATTTGTGCAATGACCTCACAACACTCACAGTGCTGTGGGGGACGAGTGACACCCGAAGGAAGAAGGTGACAAAGCGTCCCAGTGGGAGAAGAGGAGAGCTGTACAAGGGGGATGTGGAGCAGAGCTAGAACACAAACTGCGAAGGAAATAGTAGTGCAGACACTGCAATTTTTTTGATACCAAAAAGAATTCCATGAGGTATTCTGCGGCTTTCCTTAGTGGTTTCAAAATTTAGAACGCAAGCAGTCATCTAAACGCATGGCCCTTTCAAAATGTCTAAAACCCAGGCCTATGTTCAGTTCCTATCAATTTCTGCCTACACATAAATCAATCCATTTTTTTTCCTCAATACTTTCTTGCTAGAACTGACAAGTTTTCTTCATGAGAAATTCTTGAGCTACTTGTTTATTTGAGTAGATGGGGGCAGGTAAATGTAACACCAATTCAAGGCAATCTTATTATTTATGTTTTAGGGTTTCTAAAATATTTGAATCCTTGCAGTTGTTTTTTATCTCCCTGAAACTCCATACTTTCACTTTAAATATTTTTTTTGAATGTAGGTAATTTACATAGGATATAGCAATTAGTATATCCAGGATAAACATGTCTCCTAAATTTAGAAAAAAAAGAATGAAAACTGAAGTGTGCCTGCTTAGTCTCCTGATCCAGATCTATAACAAGGGTAAGAATTTAAATTTTAAAACCAGACACAAAATAGCCAAATAAACAACTTTCTCTTAAATTCTATAACTGGTGGGACTATTTGAATCTCACTACAAGATTCTTCTGACAGTTAAAATAACTTAGCAAGAGCATGTTTCAAAATAAAATCAAAAGGGATGGGGGGTAGTTCAGTGGTTGAGTGCATACCTAATATATACAAGGCCCTAGGTTCAAATCCCAGTATAACCAAAAAACAAAGTTTTTTCTAAATCCCTATTTAAAATAAATACAAATACCTGATGGGTTTAATCCACCAAAAAGTAAAAAAAAAACTTTTTTAACCCCTATTTGAAATAGACAAAACCTTCTCTAAATATCTGATAATTCATTATAGAAACAGAATGATTTTAGGCATTATCAAATTAAATTCCCTTATTTTGCAGACTAGCTACTTGTATATTCACTCAGCCAAGCTGTTTTCCTGCTAGTAACTTGAATTCCTGTTTAAAAGTATGCCAACTCCTCTTGGGTGTTCTGGTGATGAAAATGATTTTCCTTAAGTGTTAGCCAAGACATTTTCAGTATATATCTTATGAAAAAACCACAACATTAAGGACACACCACAGTGACCAGGCAGAGGAAAAAACTAGGACAGAATTATTTGGATGTTTAAAATAACAAGGAAAAAAAGGGTCCATTAAAAGAAATACGCTAGTTGGGAATGGTGGTGCACCCTGTAATCCCAGCACTCAGGAGGCTGAGGCAGGAGGGTCAAGGCCAGCCTGAACTACAAAGTAAGACCCTGTATCAGAAAAAAAAGCTAATTAATTTTTCAATCTATTGTAATTTGGCTCCATCTATAAAATTAACCAAAGTATCACATTTCTGATTTCTTTTTTAAAAGCTGGATAGGTCCTCTAAAGTACTTTTATTTTTGTTTTTGAGACAGGATTGCACTATACACATCAGGCTGGGCTTGAACTCACTCTGTAGGTCAGGCAAGCCTCGACAAACTCGTGATGATCCTCTTGCCTCAGCCTCCTGATTGCTGGGATTATAGGTGTGCACCACGATGCCTGGCTCTTTTGGTATAGTTCTGATTTAAAATGCAAATAAGTCAAACCAAGAAAGAATAGCACATTAATAGTCATGAGTTCCAGGGCATATACCTGAAATAAAGATACTACTAAGTAGAAAGTCTGGCCGTTCTAAAAGACTATTTAACCCATGAACCTTGGTCATTTGAAATATACAGTCCCATGTTCTGCTCATTCATTTGAACCTGTTTGAAAACCATTTATCTTTGGGCTCAGTATGCAGCTCAGCAGTAGAACCCTTGCTGCCTAGCATAGCAAGGCCCTGGGTTCAATCTCCAGTAACACATACACACACACACACACACACACAGAGAGAAAGAGAGAAAGGGAGAGAGAAAGAGAGAAAGAGAGAAAGAGAGAGGGAAAGAGAGAAAGAAAGAAGGAAGGAAGGAAGGAAATAAAGAAAGAAAGAAAAGAAAGAAAGAAATAAAAGAAAGCAAGAAAAAAGAAACTATTCTCTTCAAAACTTGAAAGACAAATCAGTTACATAACTCACAAATCTTCACAGGGCACACAGTGCTATAAGTTCCTGGAGCTTCTCCGTCTTGGAAGGTTTTTAAGAACGTGGCCATCCCACCCTCCAGGAAAAACTGCCCACAGCACAATCTAGGTGAGAAACTGACCTGATTGATGGAGTTGGCAGCACAGGATGCCAGGCCTGTTCCAAGAGAAGCAAGCAGGAAACAGGGCCAGTCGAAAGGACCTGGAGCCAAGGCAAATCCAGCTGAAGTGGTACTTACAACTAGAGCTGCAATAGAGACACAGAGCAGACACAGTGTTACCAGCAGGATCCTCAACTGCACAGCCAAAACGATAAAGAAGCCAATGTCCTTACGAACCAGTCAATGGTATTCAGAACACAAACTACAAGCGAATCTTTCATTTAAAAAAATCCATACTTTTTCATGATAAAAATCTTACATGTTATATGTATTACAGAAAAATGTTAATTTTCTTTTAACTCCATCATACTCACGAGTAGAAAATAAAATGGGTCTTCCAGAGTCATTCATCTATTTGTTCATTCCACATTTACTGAATACCAATATTCACAATCACCTCACCTAACTCATAGCGGATCTCATCTAAGTCTAGGGAGGAGACCCTGTAAGGGATAAAAGTGTCTACAGTCTCATTCGCACTCTTGCTCTGGGATGGATTCACAGGGAGATAATGAACATATATTAATAAGTATAAGACATGGTAGCAAACAGCAAGGGTCTTAATTCTGTGACAAACTTCAGACAAGGGTAACACAGAGCTTGCCTATAACAGATGATGGTTTTAGGGGCATACGAGGCAGATATTAATTGTACAGTGACTGATAGGAATCAGAGGAAGAGTAAATACAGAAGCAAAGCCATGTAATTCAAACATACACCAAGTCTATTTCTTTTTTGTAGCCTCTGTCACTTCCTTCCTGGGGTTTATAGAAGTTGACATGGCCAGAAATTATCTAAGGAAGATACTGATACAAGGCATCAGGAATTCATGGGGCAATGTTCAGCATGGCGAGCTAAGCTGAGAAAGATTTAAGATGACACTGAAGCTGGACCTTTAGGAGGGTACGGAAAGAAAGGAAGGGAATGGTAGAGTAAGCAACACAACAAGTAGATACATGATTCTAAAACCAGGCACAAGGGCAAGGAAGAAGAATGGCAAGACTGCTACTATTGATTAAGTATATGTGAAAGACTCACAAATCAAAAAGCTGAAAGCATTTCTGATTCTCTCCTTCCTCATGCTCAATATTCCATTCATTACAAAATATTACCAATTTCACCTCCGTGTTGTGTTTCAAACCTATCACTACTGCCACCAGCTAGTTCAGGGCTCCTAACCAGGTTCAACTTTGCTTTGCAGGGGACGTGTCGCAATGTCTGGAGACAGTTTTGATTGTCACAAATGGAGAGGACAGAGCTATTTTCTTCTAATAGGGAAAAGCACGGTATGCTTCTTAACATTCTGATGTGTAAGAGATAACAGACAACCTACGGACAGAATTTTCTGGCCTACGATATCAAGAATGCTGAAATTAAGAAGTCTTGATATAGGCTATGCCCTTACCTTTTCCCTACCTTGTCTCCTTGTTTCCACCCTGTCACGCTGCTTCTCGCTAGAGAGGTATTCTAAAAATATTAACAGATGACACTGTTTCATTGCTTAGAAAATCTCTTGATACCACACCAGGGATAAAACTCTTTACCACGCCAATGAGTGCAACTCATACCTCCTCTTAGCTCACACGCTGTTCTCCAATCACAAAAGCCTTCTGCTGCTCATTGAGCATGCAAAGTCTTTTCTAGCCTCTGACTCTTATCCTCTGCATTTCATCTAAGAGAGAAATTATTACTTAGAACTTTCTTGATCATGTCATCTAAAGCAGTTGTCCAAGACTACCTTACTCATATCACCTTTTTGTTTTCTTCAACACACAAATCAGGTTCTGGTTCCTCAGAGGAATACAAGATCCATGAAGGCAGCAGCTCTGTCTTACAGTGCACTGCTAAATTTTCAGGGCTACCACCATTCCAGGCACACAGTGGAATTTATTGAAGGATGGGGAGGAAGAGTAGCAGCCACCAGATTTAGAATATTCAGCTGAGGAGTTTGTTCTTTGTTTTGTGGTCAGCAGAGTCTCTGACTATCCAATACAAGAAAATGACCTGAGTCAGAGTTCAGCCTGCTGGCAACAAGCACCACAACCTACGGGGGCAGAGTTTTGCAAGAGACACAATCGGTGAGGCTGTACCACTAACTCACTGTGAATAGCAGACAGGGAACTGCAGTTAAAGGGCTACTTTGATTACAGAATTATTAGGACCTTGCAAATGTGAGAGATAAGAAGACAAAACAACAACAATGAAAAGCAATTAAAGGGAAAGCACTAGACTTAGATGACATGCAGAGTAATTAAAAACACTAACAGGAATAAAGAAGTCAAGGAAGAGGTAATGATACTGGTTGGTCTCAGAAAGCTGCTGGTTCTGAGAAACCATGGAATATCATGGTAGAAATAGTCAGAAAGTGAGGCAGAAAGCTCTGAATTCCCTTACCTAAGGCTGAACCTAAGGGGACAGAGGAGATTATCAGTGGGCAGCAAGAATAGCAGGGAGAAGTGTATGAGTGATGTCGTGTCTTTAAAGAGGAAGAACAGAATAAGAGAAATAGACTAAGAATATTTGGGGATAAGAATCATGAGGTTGAGGAAGCATGGATGTCCATTAATCACAGGAGGTGCCACAGGAAGAAAATCAATGGCGCACCACTAATGATATCAATTGGCATTTTGACTTGGATATGATATCCCCTTCCAGAAGGCTCATCTTCTTGGTTGTGTTTGACAATAGTTTGCAAGATGACTCATATATGTAAAGAGATTACTCTTTGTACCTCACCACTGCTCTACTTATGACAACTATACCTGAAAGAATCAACTTATAAAGAAAAAAGGGTTTTTTTTTGGCTTAGTTTTAAAGGTTTTAATCCCACTGCTTCTGGGCCTGGAACAATATAGACAATCATGGCAGAAGTGTGCAGCAGAGCAAAACTACTCATCTCAGGGATGGGACACAAGAGAGAAAGAAATGGAAAGGACCAAGGCTCTGTAATTCCCTCCAAGGGCACACTCTCCATGACCCACAGACCTCCCAGCAGGCCCCATCTCTTAAAAGTCCCACTACCTCCCAACAGTGCCACTCTAGAGAGCAAGACATTAACACATTGGCTTAGGGGAGACACTTTGAGGGGAGTGGCTGAAACTGGAGAGTGATTACACGTGTGGAGCTAAAGCAAGGCCAGCTCCAATAAACTGGAGACAAGGATGGGGCTAAACTAGCCCTGGAGTCAATTAAACTGACCCAGGATGCCCAAGAGATAGTACCAGAAAAGGGAATCAAAGGTCTGAGTAGGTGATAGAGTGCATGGAGATAACTGAACAGAAAGTTACATAAAAGAAAAGGAACACAAAAGTTCTCAGTATTCTTAAGATAAAATAAAATACAAAAAATAAATATTAATATAGTTAAAAGGTTTTACTCCCAAATTCTTCTTAAATGAGATTTCTGCTAATCAATGTACAAAAATTCTGACTAGTCTATTTATAATTACAAACATCTAAAATTGTAAGTTATTATCATTCAATTTGGTCAAAAATATATTTGAGTATACTCTGATTTTGTAAGATGTCTGTCTGCTGGTCTAAGCTGTTCAGCTATGTACTTAATTGTCTATCCAGTCTGTTAACAGCTGTTTTCTATTTGAGCTCAACAATATTTTTTCTCTTTTCCTTTCCTTTTGCACTTTTGGGCCATTTGTTCATAACTTAATTTGGTTTATAGATTTAAAAAGCATGCTTCCACCTGGGTTGCCAGCTGGTCAATATGGTATCATAATTAGTTTTCTCAAAGATCATCAGAAATTTGTTAAGGTAACTAAATGGGGACCCTTTGGGTTTGGAAGATTATTGGTCAGGGCTCCCTTTGGTGAATAAAGCAGCAGCTGCCTGGGAAGATATCCCATCCTTTGTTCATTAATGGGAGGTCCCAGTGATCTCCATAGCCTTATGGAAGACATCTCAATAAACATTATTAAAAATATATTATTGTGATATGTTTACATTGGTCATTGTCAAAAGATTAAGTTTTCTAAAAATGAGACAATATGGTTTTTGGATTTAAAGCTGCTCTGCTACAAAACAAAATTACAAAAGTTTTCATATGGCTGTGACAACTGATTGTTATTAATCTTGAGGTGTATTAAATGTATTCATCCCTTCAGATGTATAGGTCTTCCAAAATGTAAAACAGCTTGTTTATGGTGGTAGACTTGTCTTTCAGATTCAAACACTTGTCTTTCTCTTGTGCTCCAGCTAACTGAGATAGGAGGTTTGTGCCAAGCCAATATGAGACCACCTATAAAACAATTAGTTAAGAAATGGGGGAAGAGCATCTATGATGTTTATGTTATACATATGTTATTATACTCAGAGACACTTTGGTATTAAACAATCCAGATAATGTCACAAATTTCTTCAATGACACCCCATTAAAAATCAACAAGTTAGATAAAAGCTTCTTATGTACTAGACAAAGACGGCTGACTACAAAGGCTATTTTATCTCAAAATGGAAATTTAGGTGTGTTACAAAAATGTCATCATGATTGTCATGCTACAACATTACGTTTGGCTTTTTATTTCAAATTTTCTGTGTAAAACTATGTAACCATTGTCTGTTAACATTCTAGAGAGAGTCAACTACTGGAATATCCATGGTTGGCAGGAAATAAAGGTTCTGTGTTATATTTCAAGGTGCTTGATATTCAGATAAAATTATAATATTAAGCTCACTGCTCCCATTACAATGTAATGTCATTAACCTTCTCTGCTGGCTGTTCAGCAACTGCGATTTGGACACCAAAAACTAGAAAGATAGATGGGCTCAGACAACAGCCAATATTTTGGTCTTCGGCCTCTCAGGCTGTTGAGGACCCATGACGAAGAGAACCTCTGCTATGACATCCTACAACTTGATGAGCCCCCAATCTTGTGACCAAGGAGAAAGACCACAGAGGTAGGAGATCTATCTTGCATAGTGTGCCTAAGGAGAATCACTAGAAGACAAAAGTTTCCCAAGCTTTCACAGAAAGCAGCGTGGTCGAGCAAGGGCTGTGACTCATCCAGACAGCTGACACTAAGAGATGCCATACATGGTTCCAAGGTAAATCCAGAGGAGACTTAACTGACCTT